GGTTTTGTTTTTAAAGTGTTGTCTTTGTCTAGTTTTTCCCCTTCCCCTTGTCTATTGTGAGCCGCCCGGAGTCCTTCGGGAGTGGGTGGCATACAAGACAAATAAAATCAAATCAAAAATCAAATCAAATCAAGCTCTGTTTTCCTGCTGCTCTGAACCTTTTAAAGCTGTGGCTGGGCACTGTTGGTCTGTCCCCCTTTTTGATGTCCCCTCCTCCCGGATTCCATTTCCACTCTGCCAGCCCTTGTGTGTGAAGGCCTGGCTGGGCCAGGCCAGCGTCTCTGGGCAGAGAGCAGGCTGTGCATACTTTATTGCTCACTGCCGCCTGCCCATTTGTTTGCCACTTTCCTGGGAAGGTCCTCAGGAGGCTTCGCTGAGCTGTCCCAGAGCTTCCCTTCTGAGAAATCCAACCCGCCATCCCACGAGAGGCTTTGGTTCGAACCTCACCCACCATGCAGCCTTTTTGGGAGCATCACGGCTCAGCCTCAATTTGCCTGGCTCCCTTCTGAAGTTAGGAAGTGGCACTTTGCCCCCAGGACCCTGCAGAAGCCCTGGCTGGGGTACTTTGTGCAGGCTTGGCAACGGGAAGACCCCCCCCTGCACCCATTCTTTCAAGAGTCACTTCAAGCAGAGCCCAAACTGGCCACTAGGGTGGCCTTGACCCCCATCGCCCTGCTGCCTCCAGCCCTGAATGACCTCCCCGCCACCCCATCGACCTAGAAGGCTGCTGCTTCATGCCACATTGTCGGCTGCAGTTGGCTCTTCGGTGGCCCTGTTTTCTCCTGGTGCCCCTTCCCAGCTGGGGGACTCTCTGGGGTACCCCGCCGCACTGGCCACATTTGGGTGGGCGCTGGGTCAGTCAGCAACCCACGCACAGCCACCACATGACCTTTATAAACAGAAATTAATCATCTTCTTTTAAACTTTCCATTTCAATGAGATTTTTTCTAAAATTTCTTAAATTCTCATTGAAATGGAAAGTTTAAAAGAAGATGGTTAATTTCTGCTTATAAATTGGCAGCCAGCTGGGAAAGCGTCCCTGGGAACTGAGCAGGCCGAGCTTGGCATCTCAGGCTGAAAGAGCAGCTGTGGCCCCCTGCTCGCCAGGTGCCCCCTCCCCTTCACACCTTCTCCCTTCCCTGGCCAGAGCGATCACATGGTGGTGGCGCACATGCTTCTGACTGACCCAGCGCCCACCTGAATATGGCCAGAGCAATGAGGCTTCCCTGGAGGGTCTCCCAGCCAGAAAGGGTCACAAGGAGAGAGCAGAGCTGCCGAAGGGCCAACTGCAGCCAGCAATAGGGCATGAAGGAGTGACAGCCAGCACAGCTGTGAGCATTCCCAGGTCAGTAGGGGGGGGAAGGGGAGTTTGTGCAGGCCTGAAAGTGGCAGGGAGATGGGGGTCAAGGCCACCCTGGGCACCTGCAATGAGATGTGGCTGCCCAGGGTGGAAGATGGTTGGAGGCTTGAAGGGACCCCCCACTTGAAGGAACGGACACCTGGGGTCTTCCTACCACCAAGTCCACACAAAGTGCCCCAGCCTGGGCTTCTGTAAGGTCTCAGGGGCAAAGCACCATTTCCTAACTTTAGAAGGGAGCTAGGCAAGG